CCCCCCCCCCCCCCCCCCCCCCCCCCCCATTGTCCACTTCATCCATCCATCCATCCATCCATCCATCCATCCAGGGAAGCAGCCAGTCAGCCAGTAGGTCAGGCTGTTCCGTCCGTCTGTCGGCAACAAAGAACACTAAATACTGAAATTCAGCTCCTTTGAGAATGAAACAACAGATTGCACCTCGGTTGAACTTCACAAGGGGAAGCAGACATCTAAAATAAGTCCTCGCGGTATCTTTTCATTAAACTGGAAGTTCACAGGAGGCTAAATGGATTTGCTCAATGAGAGCAATCACATTTTCCAGAAAAGCTCTATTCCTCATGCTGTTCTACATTCACAGCTCTGCTCAAACACAAGCGTTTATATCCTCTACTCTACGTTTGATTGTCCACAGACCTGTTATCACTGAGCAGCTAAAGTGAATCAAACAGACAAAAAGGCTTCATTTCCGCTACTGATATGAACTAAGGGAGAAGAAACTCAGCATTTCTGGAGGTTTTTCTCATTCTGCAGCAGCCTTTCTACAAACTCTTGACTCAGCGTCTTTGGTCTGTCATTGAGGCAGCCATTTTCCCACGAAGGCTCACAAGATCTCTCCACAGTGCACTGCAGGAACCAATTATTACCTTTCTTGGATGAGCGCACGCCTTTCATTTCAGTTAACTGCCTGATCCAGGGATGATTTTTTTTTAAATGATTGTTCTGATTGTGCAACCTCATGTACATGAACATGAATGCTACACTGCTGCGGTTTGTCTGCGTGTTTGTACATTTAGCTGCTCAAAGATCGTTATTCTGTAAAATGAGCTTATGATCCTGGTTGAGATCTCCGTGCATACAAATATGGTGAGCATTGTGTGTTTGAGTACATAAACTACATCAGGCCTTTCATAATACCGACTACTCCGACAGTGTTTTCAGATGTTTGTACTGTGTTGCCATCTGCTGGACAAAGTTGAATTAACACAGATTTATGCAAACTGCCTGTTGATAGTGATGCTTTCAGCCAAGGTGGGAAGATGCTGATGCTGTACGGCTTCTGCAAACTCCTAAAAAGCTGCATCGGAAACTGGAACCTCTTTCAAACGCACACGGTCTGCTCCTGGCTGGCCTACCGGAGATGTGATGACGCTCACATTTTACTGGAAAACTAGAACAAAGATTCCAAACTCTTTTCAGCTACATTCATTGTAAGGAAGGCTGGTTTTTCATTTCAGTAGAAATACTAAATGCCATTGAAGCCAAACCAGACGTGCGCCAGAAATAGCATCTTGCACATTATGTGCATTGTAGACATGATTATTCTTTGGCACAATTGTTACACTTTGTGTACAAATCCTTCATCCAGCAGTTTATTGATTTGAGTGGGTCTTGTGTATTCTGTGTACTAGATGTAGTTCGCAGTACTTCAAGAACAGTCTGGGTTTCATTTTTTGTCATTGCTCATGGTACACACAGTATACTGTACTTGTACTCCTAATGCTTTTATAAAAAAAGAAATGGAGTAAATAAATTGGGTAAAATGTTTTTGAGAAGTTGGGAACCACTGGTTTAACCTTTAACAATGAATTGTATTTTACAAGCTGATGACTTTTTTAATTAAAAATTTGAATCTGAAAAGTAACTACGGTTGTCCAATACATGAAGTGGATGTAAATAAGCAAGTAAGTCTTTAATAAACCGGTGAGCCGAAGAAAAAGACACACCGGTGTTACAGTTAGAGTCATGTTTATTTACAGCAGAATCCTGAACGAGGAGGGAGAGAAGGGGAGAGGGCAGAGGGAAGGGGTTAAAAGGAGACAAAGTGTTTTAGATCAAGCGCTTCAGGATTCATGGTTCACTACACAGTTCTTAATTTATTTATTCACCATTGTTCTATACAGAATCCATTCAGCCGTAATATCAATACACCAACAGAGCTGGAGTCCTCTGCTGGAGGGGAGAAGAGGTGGAAATAAAAATAAAATAAAATAAAGAACTAAAGGAAAAAAATAAAAATACTAACCGGGTAAAAAGGAATTCATTTTCTATAAAAAACAAAACATTTTTGTTGTTTTCACCATGATCATCATCAGATATTTATGTATGTACATATATACACACATATATGAGTGTATACATATTATACACACACATATATATGTATATAGATCTATATATTTTCTGTCCATGTCCATGAAGAGGTGAAGGGGCCTTGTGGTTCCCATGATGTCCGAGTTTAGGCGACCGCACTGAGCGGCAGGCCGGGTGTCCCAACCCGACGGCATTCACGTCTTATTAATATTCAGCCTTTGTGAATCAGTCACAGGAGGTCAGAGCTGACCAATCGCAGTCTTTCTGACCCGCAGCCTTTGTCCAACCACTCACGCTGCTCTTTGTAGGCGAGCTCATTAGGTCCAGTGCCTCGCCGTCGGCCAGCAGAGACTCAAAACTGCAGTAGCCCCGTCGATGCAGTCTGAGAAATGATACACTGTACACTAAACATGCACGGCCAGATAGCATAGAAAAGTAAAAAACAAAAACAAAAAGCGAGCAAACTGCATCGTCCGTACGTCTCTCCGACTTCCTGCTGTGCAATCGCTCACACTTTTTCCAGTATACATTAGATATTAACTGACAAGCACCACAAAAAAGTGGAAGGACCATAAAAAAGAAAAGAAAAAGAGACTGTCGGGGACCAAGTGGTGACAGAAAAACATCCTATGGGTGAACTTTTATTTCTAATTTCATAACTGATTTTATCCCCTCTTTAGTTCCAAACAGACTTTATTATGCGATGACACACACACACACACACACACACACACACACACACACAAACACACTTAATCGTCCACACAGAGTACCCTTCATCTGTAACTACATATGAAAACCACCTCGGTACGTCTTCCCTTATCTCCAATGCTTTGAGTCCAAACTTTCACGATGGTCTTCATCGATGGAGGTGAAGTTCAGATGACGTGTGCTGTTGTGCTGTTCCACCGACTTCTTACGTCAAAACGTACACAAACCGATCAGATATCACCATGCTCAGACATTTATAATGTCTAAAATTTGATGCTTTAAGTGTCTCCATGGCCATAAATACATGTACATTTAGGATGTGCACAAGAGAAATTACCCAGCATGATGTATGATGTGGCTTCATGATGAAAAGTAACATAGCATACCTTAAAATGAATTCAACATTCATTTATTTGAAAAAAAAACAAAAAACAAAAAAAAAAAAACACTGTTTACATTTCCAACTGTCCGAAGAAAGACCGATAAAAACAAATTGCCCCCTGTTGAGTTTTCTGTAACTTTTTTTTAACAAGTTAGGACACAAACTGTTTCCATTAGACATGTCGTGTTTATGAAACCGTTTGATCCAACACACTGGACACTAGAGCAGGAAACCAGCCACCGATGCAGATGTTTGTTTTTTTATCCCAAAGATCCATCAGCTACATTTCTATCACACAAGCCAACAAACTTTAGAAAACAACCTGTAAGTGATGGATGCTCACCAGTCGGTTCGACAAAACCGGCAGCCAAAATTCACCAAAATTCAGCTGTTGGCTGGCGTTGGTTTCCCACCCTATTCAACATGCTCCCAAACACAAATACAAACTCAAGATACCGCAAATACACATATATACAAATAGAAGCGGCCCCTAAAATGCTGGGGGCAGCTTAACAATTTATAATGCATTTCTGTATATGCCAAGAATAAAACTTTTTCTAAATAAAATACATAGTTATCTGTGAGGGCAGGGAATGGGGACAGCAGATGAACAGAGAGGATGCAGGTGGGGCTCGCGGGGAGTGTTGGAGGGCGGGAGTACTGGGGGAAAAAGCCATTGTGGTGGGAGGGATGAAGTGACAGATGAAGAAAGCAGGGGGGGGGGGGGGGAAGAGGGAGACGGATGGAGGGGGAAGACTCTTCTCCTTTACTGTGTCGCTGCTCCCGAGCACTGTCCTGTGCCACTGCAACACTCCGCCTCTTCTCAGTTTGTTTAAATCGTTCTATAATAATAATAAGAATACCAATAATAATGACCACGAGAATGCTAAAAAAATATATATAGAAACCCCAGCCATGTCTCACAACCCTAAGTCCACAAAAAGGGGGGAGGCTTGGCCCTCGAGTTCATCCGAGTCGGGGACAAACAGAGATGCAGAGAAATTTAAAGACGCAGGGAAAGAAGGAAATCGCAGCGAGAAGAGGCCTGACGAATGGAAGGAGCCTTGGGAGAGAAGTGGCAAATGAGACTAACTAAAGAGCAGAGAAAACGGAAAAAGGAGAGGGGGGGGGGGGGGGGGGGAGAGAGACAAACACGGCGTCGGCAGGATGTGCTAAAAAAGAGAAAAGAGGAAGCGGCGATGAAACGGGGAGGATGTAGGTACCAACAATGAATCGTGTTGGGGCGTTGTGATCCACACACTGGTGTCCTTCTGAGGGTTTTCACAGAAGATTGGCGGAAAGCATGAACAAGTGATGACAACATGGCCTCACTGTGAGTGCGCCCTCTCTCCTTCCCTCTAATTAAGGTAAAAGATCAGCAGTCCTCCCCGCACTGGTCGTTTTTTTTATCCCAGGGTGCATCATACCTCCAGGAAGCGGGAGCTGCTGGTCTTGGTGTGGAAGGGCTCGGACCACATGCGCCGCAAATCCCCCTGTGGACAGCAAACACAAGTTTGGACATGAGAGATGAATCAAATGTGTACCTAACTTTAGTTTTTCTCGTCCTCTAACCCGTACCTTCAGGTAGGCCATAGTGAGCAGAGGCAGCAGGGTGAAGGGCACCAGGTAGAGCAGAGCGGGCTGAGCCGCGCGATGGATCCTGGAGGCCACGGTGGCAGTCAGCAGACCTGAAGACAGATTCACATCATCAGCAATCACAATTATACTGGCTCCCGAACACCTAAAACTATTACCCCGAAACATGCCAAACACAGTCACAATAAAACCCTCGACCTCTCGCATCCGTCCGTCTGTCCATCGATTGCTCTTCTTACCCACAAAGTATCCGATGAGAGTGCAGTGGAAATAGGAGACGCGCTGCATGCGTCCGGACAAAGGGACTTCCCCATTTGCTTGCTTCTTGTAGTTGTCGTAGCGCAGGACGAAGCACAACAGCAGCCCCGGCATCACGATGTCTCCTATTCCCAGCATCGAGAAGTGACTTCCTGTGGAGCTGCGCGCGTCGGGAAAAAAGAAGTAGAAATACATTTGGGTACATGACACAGAGTCATGTGCAATAAACATGTACCGCTTGTATTTCATTTGTCATTTTAGGGTTAGTGAGGTTATAATGCTAATTACAGCAGCACATAAGTGTTGGATTGTTTTCTCCGCATGGTTCCTACCTGGGAAAGACCAGTTTTCCAGGTAATGAGAGACGGGGGACGTCGCGGCCCATCCCTGGTCCCAAGTGGAGCTTCCGGGACAGAACATCTATGGGATTTTCAGCAGGTTGGGTTGCAACTTTGACCATCACATTACTGTTAAAGATGTAGGCTGAGAAGAACACCTGTGGAGGGAAGAGGAATTTAGCCGCAATTCGTAATCTTATACAGACAAGCAAGAAAACACCCATCCTTGAGAAGATGCAGCCCCGTTTGGCATTTAGAATAACTTTATTAATTGATCATCAGAATGATAATCAATACACTTTGCTATTAATAGTTTCAGCTCTAGATTTTAAAGCTCCGAATGTATCGTCTGAATCCCCGATTTATATCTTTAATCAGACTCCATCGCTGCTTCAGCTCCTCAAAGCAGGTGGAGATCATTTATCAGATTCATCTAACGTTTGTCTCGCATAACGTTGTTGTGAACATTAACGGTCAGCGGGGAAATAAACAGTGACGGGCCACGGTGAAGATGAGAGATATCGTAGTTGACGTGTTCACTGGTAGAACAGCAGCAGAAGCGGTGTGTTGTGCAGAGTCAGTTATGATTTAAGTTCAGGTTGTATTTGTGTGCAGAACGTAGTCTGACAAAACCTGAGAGAAGCGGTTTTCTGCAATCAAATGACAACGTTAATCCTTTTTTTTTTTTTATCCTTTCTTTTTTTATCCTTTCTAACAAGCAACTATTTAAACAAACGCATAATTATCTGAATGAAACAGATAATGCATCTAAAGCAGCAAGGTGCTCATAAGATCTTAACCGATTACTTTGTTCAGCGGTTAAATTAAATTATGGAAAAACAATTACATTCATCAAACAAACTCAAAAGAACATGACTCCCCGCCTCCGTCACTCTCTAACCCACTGATGCACATCCTCATAATAAAACCAGCGTTCGTGATACCGGTTCCCCCTCGACGTTGGTGCCACTTTAGCTGCTAAGCGGCCGTTGCTTTTGTGTGCAGGCGCGGCTCCAGAATCGGGACGATGCCAGATACGACTAATAATTCAAACCTGAATCTACCAATGCCAGAATAAGACAAAGCTAGACATCAATGTTTTGTAATTTCTCAAGAGGAATTTTCGATGATCATCCTAATTATGGCTTGTAGCACGCTCGCCTTCCTCTTCATCGTTTACCTTTCTTCATTTGCATTTATGGAGGCTGAATTTTGCATACTAGTGAGTATTGATACGGCACCAATGCTCACTACCCAGGTCTTTCACACACACATTGTGGCTGGAAAATGTAAAATGAGTCACTTCCCAAGCAGCAAGTAACTCATGTATGTTTAAAAAAAAAACGCATGTAAAAGCTTTCATAAGCTGAATCATTACCATTTTGTTTTAAGTTTGATACAAAGACATTTTGTTAATGATTGTGGCTTGTATGTCAGCTGTGATTGGGGTGGAGCTTTGAATGGGAGTGTGTCTTACCCAAAATACATCATAAATGAGCAGTCCTGACAGCAGCAGGCAGGACACCTTCAGACTGGGAAGCCGCACGAAGGCTATCATGGCGACACACAAGCCCATGGCTAAAGCTGCAGGGAGGAAACGCACACAAGATATGTTAATAACACAGTTCCAAGTCTGAGCGGAAATGAGGCGAAATAGCAATGTGGGCACCGACTTTAAGAAACATTCATTACTGTGCACACAGGCCTAATTAATTAGTCAGATTATTCTAATGAAATGTCTTAATTCACTTTTGGGTGCACTGATGAGACACTAGATGGTGTTGAGATTAAACATGGGAGACGATCTGAGTCATTTAAAGTAAATGTTTGTTACAATGGCTGCATTTCACACGTTAAAAGACATGCGTCTACTGTGGTGTTCATTTACTACAGCAGGTGTAATGGTGATAGGAGCCCAGGGGGCACTGTAACATTATTTAACTGGTTCCAATGCAGAGACACAGTTTGTCGTGCTTCTAGGACTGGACTGGACCCAATGTCATTTTTTTTTTTTTTTACATTCAAAGCTTCTATTGAGACGTCATCCCCCTCAAAAAGGGCCAGACAGCCCCCTTTATAGAGGCGAGTGCCTCCCCTAATGTAGGAGAACAAACCGTTTATTGATCTCAGTTAAAATGTTATTTTATAAAAAGGTTAAAAGCTCACACGTGTGAATTGAAGAAGAATATTTTGTCAGATAAAAACGTGAATTTTGGACATCATTTTTTCGATAAATGTTGACTTTTGGACCTGACAACACTCTGTAGTCATTGGTAATGTTTAGACCACACGATACAAATAGTATAAAACTAATATTAGTGAAGCCTGATCTTTATCTGCAATTAAGCAGAAACACCAGGTTAAAACTCAATTAACAGATGTGCAAAAAAAAGCCCTACACGGTTAGGTCAAACTCTTCTACATTTTTTTTTAAATTGATTCTTCAGATCGTTTTCCTCAATTCAAACCGTTTGATCTGTGCAAGTACTTTTATTTTTGATGCTGAAATGCTGCCATTTGTGTCAAGGCAGCGATTACTGAAGGAGACTTCCAGTAATATGTTTCAAATTACAAAAGTCAACTGGGTTAAATAAATGGTGCGCACACACACACACACACACACATTTTGTCAGTGTGTCACTAAGATGCCAACTTTGAAAGGCTAGATAGCTTAAATGGCAGTTAACAGCTGCCTAACATCAGTGTATATTTAGAGTGCATCACACTGCAGTAAGAGCCTTAAAATATTGTTGCTAAAAACTTCATATTGTATGAGTCATGATGTCAAGTTCCTTCTTCAACAGAAGATGAAACATTTTGTCCAGACTCTAGCCTTTATTAAAGATTGAGATGGCTGAATGTATTTTCACTACTCCGCAGCATCAACGTTAGCAGCTATGCTAACAGAACGTCTCCTCACACACTTCAAATCACCGTCTAATAATTGGAAATGTTACTAATGTGAACCACGAACCACCCTGCGGTTCAGATTAATGTCACGAAATCTGTGGATCCTCGTAGATCACAGGAATATTGAATAAAAATAAATGAACTGAATTCTGGTGGATGGGAACACTGGCACAAGAGTCGGGACCGAGAGAGACGCACCGTCCATGAGAAGCCAGTGTCCAGTCAGCACCCAGATGAGCACCAACATGACGGAGAGGGAGAAGGCCAGGAGCTCCGCCAGAGTGAAACGCCCACAGCAGCCAAAAGAAATCCTGCAACAAGACAAAGAAGAGACACCCTCAATCGAGTGTCGTCCAAATCATACAGAACCGAGAGAAGAAGACTTCAGAACGGTACGGAGAGGCGGGTGGACAGGACATTGTTTCCAGCATTAGAAAATGTGCAGGCAAACATTTACAGGCCGATTCATTTTACACACGAGCAAAGAACAACCGAGAGAGCATTGATCTCTACAAGTGGAGCGAGTGAGACCCGGAGAAGACTATAAAACGTTTAGGCTCGTGATTCATAACGTAATTCATAACAAGGGTTAGCTAACGCTGGCTAAACCGTTACTGTTGAAATGACAAAGGGACGGAGACGAGTGAATAATAAATGTACAAAGCACAGCCGGAGCAGCTTCTATTCATGAACATAACAACAACCGTAACACTGAGTAGAAAAAGGGTTTTGGGTTATTGCTGATTCTGTAAAGCAGATAAAAGCTTCAGTGAAAGGAGAAAGGAAGCTCTGGATCTGTAACCAGAGAGGAGGCGTTCATATTGGCTATTGAGTGGGTGGGTAGTGTTGTTGGGGATTCCTTGTTCTAGGCTATTAAAATGTTTTGTATGCAGTAAGTAAAAAAATAAATAAAACCTGAAATAACAAAACTTCCTTCCTACTTGTTCCCAGTGGCATTATTAAGCATCGCAGACAGTTTTAATTGACAGGAAGCTGATTTCACAAATATGCTGAAGCACGGAGCTTTATAAATATTTTCAAAAAGACACGCGAGACTAAACCCTTGAGCGACAACAGGCACACACAGAATCCACATGATTTGCTTACTTGTTCTGCGGGGAGCAGGGTCTGGTCAGATACTGGCACATCGGCAACAAGAGGAATGCAAATGCAATTGTTGCAAGAACTGAGGAGAAGAACAAATGGGTCGCAGTCAAACCGAAGGCCTGACGAACAGGACTGCTCGTCCCGGTCGTTTTCGTTGAGTTTAATGGGGCGGCTAACGGCCTTTACAGTTTCAATAACCACAGTTTAAAGAGGCCTGCCCCGGTGTCCGACTACTGAACGGGAACGCGAAAGCCTTGTTGAAGTGCTTCTGCCGTTTTGTGTTACGTTGAAGAGCGGCACTCACCTGCCGTGCAGATGGTGAAGACCACCTGTACCGAGTCGAAGAAGAAGAACATGACTAGCAGAGACACCGAGGCTCCTATGGGCAGGAACAGCGCCTGTGTGGAGTCTATAGTCTGAATACCTGCAACACAGAACATGAGAAGTGAATACTTGCACATTAAAAAAAAAAGGATTGGTTTTGTTTTTGTGCGTTAGGTTTTGCAAGGTCTGAAGGATACAGACACTCACTGTTGTTTGAGCCGTTATTGAAGGTCCCCGGCATGGGGTTACCGTCTTTATCCTTCTCCTGGTTCTCACAATCCATGTTTAATGATCTGCAGGAGGGGAGGGACACACAGGGAGTGAGTAGGACTCAGACAGCAGTAATCAGAATCTCAGAAGCACGTAAACTATTCATATGAGGCTGTGTAGGAGACTTAAAAATACTTATTCGACGGTGAATTAATTAGTGGAAGTAATGGTGTTGAAAAGACCCGAAAACTTAAGCTGAACGTGTCTCACGTCAACCCCACAAAATATCTCCATTTCCTTGCTTTTCTTTCCTATTCACATCTGACGTCAACAGTCGTACCGATAGTTGTAAAAATCAAATACGCTTAGAAGAATTATTACATATATATGCACAAAAATGTAATTTAGTTCTTTATTCTCCAGGCGTGTTCCCATCTTACAGGGGAAGGCCTTTTCCACTGAAGACATTTCGACATCGTTACAAAACGCAAAACACAAGAGTCATTAATGAAATGAATGACGGCTGAATTTGCATTTAGCTGCTTCAGTTTCAGGGTTCTGGTATCGTGCATGCTGGCTCACTGTCACACAGTCGAGGCTTACAGAGACACTTGAGCATTAATGGTATTAGTGACACCTTTGACAAGTAAAATATCTGCTGTGTCTAATACTGGAAGCATCTCACGGTGCAGAGTAGAATACTTAAAACACATACGTCCACTCAAGATTGAACCGATTAGAATTTGGTGGTCAAAGGCTAAGTGACCTACCTCACAAAACATGTATTTGCCCATAACTTAATAATCGCTATGACTTATTATCACACAAACGTCTAATAGGATGAAGAGTTGAAGTGAAAGTGATGACATTTGAGACTGTAGGTCTTTGCGAGACGTGCTCGGTAAGTCCTTGTTGACTCCCCTCTAACAGCTGAAGTGTGTATTTAGTGACACTCACCTGAAGCTGCCATAGACGATGAGGAGGATGGATATGAGGAAGGTGGACACCTGGCTGGAGTCAACTAGGGAGTAGGCCCTAAAGAGGACACAGAGAAGAAGACAAAAGTGTATTTAATGAAACATCCCCCATCACCTTTAGTGCAACACTGGAGACAAAAGTACACCGTGTTCTTTGTATTGTTAAGCACTTCCTAAATAAAATGTATATTTATTGACATTACATTGATTAGTTTTCTACTTAACAGAAGTTGTCACTTCCTTAAACATCACACGAACAGCAAAGTAGAAAAGAAAAGTAAATAATCCTTATATACACAAACGGTGTTGTGAAAAGACTTTAAGTCCTTTTTAATCTGCTGCTTCCTCCTTTTGTTTGTCCTAACTGCAATCTTTTACACACGGAAAGTTGCATCGAAGCCAGTTAGCCGACTGCAGCTTGATATTGATGATTATAGTTATGCAAGTTCTGGCATTTTTCATTTTTGACCAGATTGATGATTGATTGCAAGCTCAGGTGAGTGAAAACACACGTGTTGTTTGAGACAAAAATGGAAACTAGCAAGCTAACTGTAACTTTGGTCAATTATTCCAGATGCGGCACTTTGATAATATCACATCGGCTTTGGTGATTTTACAACCCCGACTGTGACTCTGCAGGTACACGAGTCACGTTAACCCCTTCAAAGCAGCCCGAAACAGTCTGCTTCCAACAACAAACACTGATGCGTGTGGAGAATGTTGGATCAGGAATCAAGATTAAGAAGTACGGCATGCATTTAACAATGTATACAACTGACCTGCACAGTGTGTATATTTGGGGAACTGCGTCGACAATTTAAGTGTTCAAATAAACCACTGAAGTCAAAAATAGAAAACTAGAAGAATTTAAAATCCTTTTCAGTGACGATCTACAAGAACATCAAACACAACGTGAAAACATTTCAAACACACGACACACCGATACGGCCCGCTTCAACAACACGATGATATTCTATTCCCCTGATATTAGTGTGCTGAATATAAGAATTGCAAATTTTGTTGTTAAAAATAAAAAAAGAAGAACTGGGAAATAAACAAGCGATCGATTATGAAAATCAATAAATCAAATGTGACCCATATGGTTCTAGGCACATTGGAAACTCTCTACAAAAGGAGGGGGGGTCTCTTCTCACAACAACAATATGGTCTTCTACATTATAATTGGACCTACTGATGTAATTTGGGAGCATATGACTCATCCGCAGCTTGGAAAATAAGCATCAAATAGCTGTGGTTTAAAAAAACATTGAAAGACGTGCAATTTAAGTCTCGACAACAGCATATAGAGAAGACGTATACGTCTCAATCCCACAAGGGGAAATAAATGATTATATTCCCACACACAGAGGCGCAAATATCTTCATGTATATTATATTATTTGTTATATTGTACAGCACATCGCTTGTTCAAAAGGTGCTTTATAAAGGGTAGCTACTTATTCACAGTTCATTTTTAATCAGTACTAAATAATATAAAGTGGAATGTATGCGTTGTATGATATTTAAAGAAAAACTAACATCACACAGACATAAAGTAACATAACAAAAGAAAATGCCTGAACGGGCTGAAACGCATAAACCAATTTAAACCCATCGCAAAGTCCCGCCCCTTAAACACAGACTGGCCAATGATTGGCCAATCATTGCGCAGCATCGGTCAACTCTGACCGGGTTCCGTCAGCTACCGGTTCATAAACTAGTCAACTCACAACCAAATTGTTCTAGATTGACACACTTCAGGTAAGAGGAAAAATATGCACTTTGGATTTTGGGGTGAACTGTCCCTTTAAGCTCAATTACCTCAGAATACAACAGCACATCCAGCTCAGGACACGGATCTCTCTGCATAATAATGGTGGAGATTAATGTGCAACGGTCCACTGGGAACCCCAAATGTTTAGTAGTTTTTTCCAACAGCAGTGTGCAGGACTCTCTTCATTCATCAGCTTCGTTGTTCAACTCCTGCACCCAAGAACTCTGCTGACTGATATCGTCCAGTGTGGTGAAATTAAACTATTTGTCAAACTATTGTCTTAATCTAATAACTGTGGGCATGTAAACAGAGTCAATATACAGCTCAAAACACTTCTTTACTTGAAACTATTCACTTTCTGTTCACATTCTTAATTAAATGAGAAAGCTTTACATTTGTTAAGTATTTAATTCACAAAACAGTAAATAAAAATAGGCTTTGCGAAGTGGTTATTTTATATAGACTATTGAATTTCCAGAAAACATGCTATATTGTGATATATATCATTATTGAGATGTGAAAGTTAGTGGAGCTATACAGAAGGCCTAAAAGTAAAGAATGTGATCGGCCATGATTACAACAGCCTCTAATGGACCCGCCTATAATGCGGGCCTACTGATCCCAGGTGCGCCAAGCGAGCCTGGTCATGAAATTACCGCACAAGAAAATGTGTTCACTCACTTAGTGACTCAGTCAGTCAGTGACAGACTTCCGCGTTTGACTGGCCTCGCCTTGCTGCCAAAAATAATCTAAATTCCCCTTGACCTACATCCTACTCCTTGCAATCTGTTGTTTTTGTGTGACGTGAGAAAGACTAGACAAAACAAACAGGAGCTGATGAAGGACATCACAATGCAAGTCCTTGGCCAAGAGATGCTGTTAAAGAGTATTACTTCAGAATAAAGATGGCGGCATCTCGGTTCTGGTCCAGGAGAGACAAAGTGTACGTTCTAGATGAAGGATGAACGTGGCTTTAAAACTTCCTACAGCTTATTTTTAAACAAACAGATTTTCCGTGCTCTCAGAAACAAAGAGGTTGTAAACATATGTAACTAATCCTGAAATGTATTTTTTTTTCATGCGTAATCGGGCTTTTAGTTTTGCAGACGGATGCTGCATTTAAGCACCAAACTGTGTCCCGTGTGTCAATGATCTGAGGGCGTTGATGTAGCGTAGACTTCACATGCAACATTATAATTCAGACCTTTTCTGGGGCAAAGACAAGGCTGCCATTGTGAAGCGGCTGCCTTCATGTGAGAGGTGCAGATTTGACCCCAATCCTGACCCGTCTGTCTCTCCCGTCAGTCTGGATTTTTAAAAAAACACCAACCAGTGACCCCTAATAATGTCATCACCAGCTTAGCTCCCCCCCCAAATTTCATCAGGGTCTGCATCCAACGCTGACATTTATTAGCTATCGGCAGATCCACACGGCCGGCTAAACCACTGATACCTTTCTATTTTTGGTCGTAAACAATCACAATCATGTCTTAAAAGATAAGAGCCAATGATCGGTGTTTGGTATCGGCCGATGCTGCTTCAAGTGATGCCCCGAAAATCATGACTACAGGTTTCCCAGAATGCAATGCACCACATTTTATATAAAATGCACTTGTACAACACTAAAGATCAGCAAGATCAGCTTGCAGATATATTGTATTGATGAATGTTGGCCAACAAGTAATTGAAGCACATTATTGCCAAACGTATGTTTGAAGTCGTTACTGAATAGTGACACTGTTACATCGTTAGTCCTGAATATTTTTCAATTGTTAAACGTCACACTCGCGGAACATTTAGAAGCTCTCACGTCTGTATCGCAGCTTAGACATTGTAAATACTTCGGGCTGTATCAGTGGATGTTTGATTGCAGAATTTCCTGCTCACTATGTAATAAATAATTGAGTATTTATTATACTGAGAATAATAAACGAGACAAAAGAGAGCCGGAGCTACAAAAGGGTGCAAAGTGGCCGAGGGAAAGTCTTTCACATCATGATGACGGACGCTCCACACAGGAAAACCACATTAACAAAAAGCAACAGCAGTCACAAGTTGAGCCCGGCCGTCTCTGAAGGAGCTGAACATTTGTTACACGACAAGATAAAGTTCTAAACATAAAAAACACATTGAGTTGATTTAACATCTGTAACAGTTTCTGCTATTTATTCCCACTACTGGCATTTCTTTTTTTTTATTAAAGTTTGATTTAGTGAGCTGTGGGTCTTATTTTTAAAAAGGCAACAATATCTCCCACTCTACTACGACTCGACACACCGACTATAAATTCGTCTGCAACATATGATACCATGCAAGGTAACATGGTGAAGTGTTTAAATTACAATGTTAACAGATCTGAACCTAATCATCAGTTCAGGTAAGAAAGAAATGCACAAAATACTTACAACCGTAGATAAAACCCTGGTTATGGAGCATGAACATGGAGGGTTAAAACCATCATGGTCTGAATGGGGTAAATGCATTTTGGTTTGGTCAGTAGTTACTTAATTTGGATACTATCTGCTTAGGCACTATTTCTCATGTGTAGAAATGCCAGGACCTGCAACTTAACTCCGCATACAGTGAATACTATTTCAGTTACGAGCATCGCTGGGCCGCATCACTAGTTGTCTTTCAAGTACTGACGGAGACAACAGCCCTCGCATAAAAAAAAAAAAAGACTCTGCTCTAAATCACTTTTCATTCTGGTACGTATGTGGTGCAGGAATTCACAGACAAGAATCTCCCGTCTCCTTTCATTCATTCAGTAGTACAGGAATGACTACAGGGTGTTTAAGAGGAGGGGTAACATGTGGAAAAGGGACACTACTGCATCACACGTGCCGTTCTTTTTTTTTTTTTTTTTTTTTGGAAGTACTAAACTAAGCAGGTTAAATGTTTGGCCTCGAGCACTAAGACAGCGATTAAGAAAGTGGCCTTGTTCTTCCACACAGACACTAATGATGTCACTGCCTCACTGTCGACACAGCGAGCGGACAGACAGCTAGTTTAATCTACCTCGGGCCTCATTCATATTCTAGCATCGAACCGGTTGGTCTGAATTCTGCGCACAAGCAGCCTGTAGAACATGGGTGCGATAGATGAATGGAACATTTAAAAACTAAATACAATCCCGGACTGTTGAGGGGCTGGATGGCGGCCCAAAGCGCCATAAGACGTCCTTGTTCGCCAAACGGACTCGGTTTTCAATAACACAATTCCAATACCGTCCTCCGACAAGCCAGCCGCATGCATAACTTGACCATTAAAGGGCCAGGTCAGCAG